CAGGTTTTGTTCGTGTATTTTATTTTCATTTGGTTGTTCTGTGGAATCAGAATCCAGCCTGAATAATTTGAGCTGCTCAAAGCTCAGATCCTTGGAAGCATTTCTCAGGCTTTGTCGCCTCTCAAAGGCTTTTTTATAAGGCATGATAAGCTGATAGAGATGTGGCCATTTGGTAGGTCGTGTTTGTTTGCCAAGATTATTATTAATCATATCATGTCATTTATTGGGCTTCTGGTTTGGGTCATGTCATCTCTGTCTCACAGAGACCTTTTCATGTCTCGGCCCATAAATACTCCGAGACATGGGTGTCAACCCAGATCTCGTCGATCGTGTACACCTTGCTGTGCTCCAAGAAAAACAAACCACGATCCGGAGAGGTTAACGGGTGCCCAACCCAAGCGTTAACTTCAACGTGAACAGGTACCCAACCCACCACGAGTGAGAGCGAGAGAGATGACTGTCGACTGACCTCCCGGCAGATAAGTAACCAACCGGCAACGGCGAAACGGACCATAAACCCAATTTATGATCCAGCGGTGCAAATCGTCATTGATTTGCGGAGTTGATCACCGCCAATGGCCATGAGGAGCATCGTCGTACTTGTGAGCGCCATCCGCCGGCCCTCATAGCGTCTCCACCGCAGTCCCCATTCCCAGCTGTATACAGGTCCGTGCAATGAATCACCAGTTGACTTCGGTTCCAAATTCATCGCCGTCAAACGATGGCTGAATCATCGAAGACTAATCGGCTACCATTAGGCCCTAGGCAAAGATTTGGATGCCGGTCGAGGTTCCCGAGATGTTCCGAGAAAATCCGGGTCATGTTGAGCATGGACACCACCACGGCGGGGGCGGCGGCGGCGGCGTGGAAGACCAGCAGCGTCATGATATGAAACTATGAAACGATGGAACCATTCAATAAGATTGCAATATCCATCCGATATATATATATATATATATATATATATATATATGAAGCTATAAATATATAAAAAATATAATTACTTTACTATGAAAATTTTTAATGTCAAATCAAATAACGATAAATAAGAATTATGATTATATACTTTCGATACTATTTAGAAAATATCAACCGCACCGACGTCGAATTTAAAAGAAAGAAATATGGAAGAGAACTAGACTCATATATATTTTTTTTCTATCTAGGACTAATAAAATTAAAATATGAAATAAAAAAATTATAATATCTCTGTATAATAAAAAAAAAAGTTTATAATGTCTCGATATCATGTTACGAAGCAATACAATGTTATATTACTATTCTTATAAAGGAAGTGCATCTTATTTGATTGACTTTCAAAAACTCAAATGGTATAGAAAATACAAGCATGATGATATCTCACCCAAAGATATAAACTCATATATTTCAAAATACAAACATCTTATAGATTAAACTCAAGCTCCCACCCAAAGATATAAGTACGAAGCACATCACGCATTCATTGAGTATGGACATACATAATCTTGATTTAGGTTGAAGAAGGTTTTTTTTAGTCAATAATATTCTCCGAAAAGATTACCATGGATATATGTAAACCAAGAAATAATATGATAATCTCATCATATTCTTTGAATCAATTCAACTAATGAGTTTTTTCTTTTGCACCTCAAAATATATTGAGTCCTAGAAAGTTCTCGAGATCAAATGATCTAAGATAAGTAATTAGGAGAGTCTATCACATCCAGATATCTCTTAAAAAATCTTATCATAATTGAGCTTTATTTCTATTAGTTGATAATTATAATAAGAATATAATCAAATCTATAATATTTTTATTTAATTAAACAGATTATATAATCTAATATTCTCCCACTTTATCCAGGTAAGATATGAAAGAATTTAAAATTAAAATAAAAAATAAAAGTTATCTAAAAATAATCTTACTTAATTGGATTCTAAAATTTAAAAAGTTATTTTATATGTGCGTATGAATTTTATAAAATATATTAATAAGTTTAATAAATATAATAATACTATTTTAAGTCTGATGGCAACGTAAGTTAAATATATTATCAATATCATATTTACTTCTATATATACCACAACAATATTAACCCTTGATAATGCAGTCCAATATAATTTATATTATTAAGATAATTATATTATATATATCAAACTATTATATATATATATATATATATATACGTACCAAA